TTTGAAATTTAGTTAAATAGGAAGATATATTTGTTTATCAATGGTAGTTGACATTTACCATTTACAATTGATCTTTAGGGCTCCACGAGGACCAAGACCCTCAACAGAGTTCTTAACTCTGGTGGCTGAGACGGACAATGTCTCTGTGTGGCCTGTATCCATTCAAACAAGGAAGGGGGTTAGAGTGGAAAATGCAGGAAACCTGAGCAGAATCTTGGGAAGGGTTCAAAGACCGCTCCAAGCAACAGATGATGCTAATTAAGGGGAACTGTCCTAGGAGAAAGTCTCCAGGTGGCCTCAGCTGTGGCCTGTCTTGCCCCTTGAGGCATCATCCCGTTCTCAGTTTAGCCACAGCCCTGCACATGTATTTAGCTTCAATGGCTCCAACATTCATTTATATTAGATAGTTTAAATATTTTTAGTTATCCAAGACTTCTGCTTATCTCTTCAGTGCAAATTAATATTTTATAAAATCAGGAGATATGCTACTGTATCTTAAATGGTATTCAAAGATATTGTGACACGAATGATAAGCAGCATCTTATCATTCTTTTTCATCTCCACAGAACAAGAGGAAATAAATTTCGATTGTGTTTTGGTGAATATAAACAATTCTGTAATATTGGTAGTGCTGACACTTAACATTTTAGTATATGCTTTATCACTGGCCTTGTGTAAAGCTCTTTACATGCATTATTACATTTATTCTGTGAAGTCCTATAAGAAATTACTTTTTCCATTTTATAGATGGAGAAACAGACATTTAAAAAGATTAAGTGGTTTTTTTAAGACAAGGTGGTACCTAAGTGAGGAACCCAGAGTTTGACCAGAGAGCTTGTGCAGTGCAGAGGATAAGCAGAGCTAGGGATGTTTGAATATTAATAGGAACAAAAGACTGGGTCCAATGGACCCATTCCTTCCTTTTCTACTATAAATTTGTACTTTAGCATAATAGCAGCTGGGCTCTTGCCTCTTGCCTTTTCCTGAGGGATACAGCAAGCAATCTATGTGTTTACCCTCTTGTTAGCATAAATGGTAAGGTGTATGCACATGTGGAAAAGTGGCAAAACAAAATTTTTCCCCACCTCATAACTGTGTAACTTGTTTTATATATGTTTACCCAAGCATCACAGAGGGTCCAGTAGACCCACACTACTTCAGGGTTTGTTAAAAGAAAAATTTTTAAAAAAATTTTTCTGGTGGAAGTAGACCAAATCAGTATAACGGCTCATAAAAAATCCGATTTGCAAGTTTTGGAGGGAATCAAAAGTGAATCATCAGATTATTCATGCATGAATGATGAAGATGGTACATATGGTAAAATACATGATTTCCTAACAGAAGAGTGGTGTGGGTGCATGATGATGATGACAACGAAGACAACAACTGTGATGATGATGACAACTTGGATGTGAGCCAAAGTTCCTGTGACAGTGAAGTGGGGCAAGAATACTGATGCAGACACAGGGAATGCAGACCTTGGTTCAGATTAGGAAGAAAGCAGCAATCTGAAGACATACCTGTCTAGTTAAAATGTTGCAAAATGGCCATAAAACCAAATGGAATGATCTATGTTAGAGTGAGGTCCAAAAATGTAGTGAAGGTCTTGGCTGGGGTGAAACATGTTAGAATGCCAGTGCTGCCATTCAGGGTTGAAAATTGTAACGGAATGCTACAATTCACAGAGTCTGAAATACAAGTAAAACTTGGTATGTACATACCAGTGATCATACTCAACAATGTATTTATTATGTTACCACTAGCTGAACTGCAAGCATTCATGTCTGCTGTACTTAGCAGGGATTTCTCATGGTGATCGCAGGCGTGAAGACTCATGGAAAAGTGTTGGGTCAGAATGTGACAAAAAATTTGTGCTCTTCTAAATGGGAAGACTTAGCTTTCAATTTAGACATTTATCCTGGAGCTCAGCCATCAGGTCCTTATTTGTGTAATAAACCGAGATTGATGTTGTGAACAGACTTGTTGCTCCCATCTCCCAAATTAATTGGACGTGATAGTCGACAGTTGGTTTACCAGTTTCCATTTGGTAACAAGAGCACAGGTTGACAAGCATAGGAACTACAAGCAGGAACAAAGCAGAAATTTCAAATGAAGTGTTGCAATTTTGAAACAAAATTGGACAGTACAGTCTTTGGATTTCAGAAGGGTATAACATTGGCCTCGTTTATGGCAAAGAAAACCAAGCTGGTGCTGCTGATGTCAACATTTCACCATGATGGAAATATTAATAGGGAAACCTCAACAAAATGGAAGCCTGAGATGGAAACTTTCAACAGCAAAACCAAAGGTGAAGTAGATTTTTTGAGGCAGAGTCTCACTATGTAATTCAGGATGGTCTTGAAATCTTTACTTAGCCCAGGCTGGTCTCATACTTGTGGCACTTCTCCTGCCTCAGCCTCCTGAGTTCTGGGATTACAGGCATGCGCCACCGTGTCTGGTGGGCATAGATGCAGCAACTATTATGTCCCTTGAAACATAGAGTCAGCCAGTGATTATGTTTTACTTGATCCTAAATATGTGTGGCACAAATAGATAGTTTACAAAGAAAATAACAAGTGCAGATTTTCTTAGAGGACCGGGACTGGAATTCATACAAGATCATTTATAGCAGAAGAAAAACAAAATGTTTCTGGGAACTGCACAAAAACATGATAAAGTGCATTGTGAGCTGACAGGTGAACAGGCAGGCACAGCATCACAAAGATCTACTATGACAACAGGAAAACAAAAAAGATGTCTACTGTGCCCTAAAAAGAAGGACAGGAAAATGAAACATACTTGCTATCAGTGTAAGAGACACTTGTACGTGGAACATACAGTTGTCATGTGCCTTGAGTTTGACAGTTGAAGCAAAGCTTATTTTGTTTGTATTTACATTGTAGTTTACCTTGGTTTTATTTTTGATGTTATCTTTTAGATTTTGTGAGCAAGTAAACAGCTGATGTGAAAATGATGTCTATTCTAAGCACTACTACTTTTTTATATTTTATTTTATGGATAATATTATTTCCCTGCTAAGTGTATGTTACACAGTATAGTAGGAAGCTCCTGACAAAACAAGAAGATAGAGGGAAAAATGCCACGTAGGAAAGAAAGCTAAGCACACATGCCTTCAGGGTAAGCGAGCCGCGTGCACTCAGCACGCAGTTGTGTGACGTCTGCCTTGGGGGTGACAGTTGAAGCAAAGCTTATTTCTGTGGTACAGTTCTGTCGGTATTTTCATTGTAGGTTGTATGGGAATTAATTTTAAGGTTTACTTTTAAGTTTTGTAAGCAAGTATGCAGCTGATATGAGAATGTTGGTGTCTATTCTAAATGCACAGTACATATTAAGAATTTAATGCATTATTTTATTGGTATTTTATGTTCCTGTTAACTACACATGTAAAATATAATAAGAACCTCCTGACAAAGCAGCAAACCACTGAGATAGTCAGGTAGGTCCTGTAAAAACATCCAGGAAAGCCGAACCCGAGAGCTGTCAGTGTAAGTGACATTAGTGTATGGAATGTGCTGTTGTCATGTGTGTAGACTGCCTTAGCTGTGATAATTGAAGTAAAGATTACTTTTTTGATAAAGTACTACTTGTATGTTCATTGTATACACGTTCTTTTTTAGACTTAGTACACCGAAAAACAGTTGTTGAAAATTTTGATGCTTTTTAATAATAAATATTAAAAATGTAATGCTTTATTTTTGTATTTTTTTCTGTTAAGTGCTCATTGTTTAGTATAATAAAACTCATTAAAGTAAAATTAGTAATTCATCAATGGAAATATTCTAAGGAATAAATGTGGAGAGCTGGGGACATAGCCCAGCAGCACAGCACTTGCAAATGCAAGGTCGTGAGCTTTATTCTCAGTACCCCCCCCCCAAAAAAAAAAACAGTAAATGTGGATCTAACAGACCCATGTTTCGGGCTGCACCTTGATGACAAAATTAGTCTTATGTTTAACACCAGAGTGGTCAGTTAGTTATAGGGGAAAGAAACAGATAAGAGTGGCAGTTATAAGCCAAGAAGAGCCACCAACGTGATTTGGGTTCAAGAAACCATGTCAATAAGGGTGTGTCCCTGATTTCCAGCCTTTCTACTGGGTTATAAATTCCAGAAACAGTGATGGAGTTCATATGTTAATTATTTGATACAGTAGCCAGAGTTACCCATGTGGTGATCACAGAAGTTTCTGTGTTGTGTGCAAAACTCAGAAGTCAGCAAGAAAGGTATTAAGAGCCAGCTGAATAGGGGAAACAGGCAGGCAGTACTGCTGTAACTGAGGAATACAGAAAGCTCAGTCTTGTAAATAACCAAATACACAAATGTAAACTAATGTGGTATGAGTGTTGCTGAGTAAATTAGCAAAAAATTATAAAATGTTAATATCCAATACTGGTACTCATTCACTGCTAATGGCATTTTAAAGTAGTATGTTAGAAGAATAAAATAGTTCATTTACTAAGTAAATAACCCTCATTCAATAATTTAGTAAAAATAAGATGCTCATATTTATTTTTCTCTGATACTGAGAAGCGTATTTTAAACTAATCTGCGTTAAACAAGAAAAACTTTGCATTAAATACTTTTTAAAATTAACCACCGAAGAAAATAATTAATAGCTATTGAGCAGAAATGTTGTTTTAGGATTTTCCTTAAAATTATTAACCACAAGAGACATATTTTAATTATCAAATTGTATAATAATCTGTCAGTAACTCACTGAAATGGCCTTTTGATCTGTAGGAACATGTGTGTTTATACCTGAGTACTCTATAGTTTTGCCTCTGGTTTACTAAACTGGGAAAAATCATTTAAACTCATTACTTACTGCTGCAAATTCCTTGAAATTTTTGTAAAGTATTTATTTCAAAAAACTAATCTGAAACATATTAAAGTGTGGTTGTACAGTTTTAAATATAGTTTAGTGTACATTTGTTTGCTCTCTGGCTAACAGGCAAGTAACTCTGTGGCACATTATTTTACAGGTACTCCCAGTTTTATTTGGAGGATAGCTTTTGCCACTATAACATGTTTAACCACCATTTCTTTGATGGAAAGGTAAGGATCATGACCATTATCTTTCTTCTCTTAATACAAAATAACAAATTCAAGAGTACCTCCTTTGTTGTTTTTCTACCATTTTAACTATAATTTTTGTATTATTATTAGTGGCTGTTAATTTTACCAAATACTGAGTTTCAGTGATCATGTCTGCTGCCCTGCACTCTCCTTTACACTCTCCTTTCCCTCCCTCCTCTTGTCTACTAACAGTCTCCCTTTAGCTTTTATGTTGTCTTTTTTATACTCCACACAATAGTGAGAACACGTGATACTTCTCTTTCTGAATCTGGCTTATTTTATTCAACATGATGACCTCCAGATCCATCTGTTCTCTTGCAGATAACAAAATTTTGTCCTTCTTTTTGGCAGAATAATATTCCTTTGTGTATATATCACATTTGCTTTATTCTTTATTCTGTTGATTGGCACCTAGGCCAGTGACAGTGGACCTTTTAGAGACTGAGTGCCCAAACTGCTACCCAGAGCCCACTTATTTGTTGTAAAGAGCCAACACTGCAATTGAACCTGAATACTGAGGTTTTAGTTTAGAAAAGACAACTCATGCATTAATGTCTTTTGTCTTACAAGAAAAACAAGTAACATGTGCCAAAGATTCGCCACCATTTTTATTCTTAGAGCTCTTGGTTAGTCCTACTACAAAGTAAAACCCATAACTGAGCAGGCAATCACACCTGCCAAGATGCTGGCAAAAATGTGTAGAAATTATCGAGAAGACAGCTTGATCCTTACTCATGGATGTATCTGTACAAATCAGTTTTTTAAAAATCTGTGATTTGCTTAAATATGCATTGTCCTTGAGATATTAGTTAAGATAGTGTGAAACCCAAGCTAGCCTAGAAAAGTAAGCATTATTACTTGGGATTGAAAATAAGTCTTCTGATTTAGTAAATAGAGTGCTCTTTCCATTAGAATCAACTTAGCATTGGGGTGCCTATTTCCCAGCCACAGTAGCATTAAAACCAAGAACTGAAGCTGTCAGCAGTTAGACTTAGGTGTGGTAGTTCAGCTTCCCAGAGGGTTTATGTGGCTGGTAGTCGCTGGGTTTTGAGAAGTGACTCGATGAGTGTGGAGGAAAGCAGGGTGCTGAAGTCACTCAAGAGTGATAGTGAGGGCTTCTCGCTAAGACAGTGCGGTGGGCAGGAGGTCAAGGGAGCAGGTTGTGTAGATGGCTGCACAGAGGACCCACATAGAAGGAGAGCAGACGCGTGATTAATGTACCGGGAGGGAACTAGTGCTGACTCGGAGGGGCCTGGGCTTCTTTTTAGCCTCAGGACCGAGGACAAGGAGTTTGAGTACTCCTGGGGATGTCATGACCTTTATGTGACCACAAGGCCGGCTCTGGGACATAGTCATGAGAGTAGGGGTATTTGATGCTGAGTGAGGAAGAGGTTGATGTTTTTGTTGTTGGTGATTTTTGTGGGGTTTTTTGTTTTGTTTTGTTTGTTGGCTTTTTAATACTGTACCGTGATTTTGTTTTCATTTTGAACAATGAAAACAAGGGTAGAATTACACTTAAATTCCTATTGGCCTGTGTTCTTTAAAAAGTAACGTGCAGTAGCCATTTCTAGAAAGTTTATAGAATTACTTTCTAAGTTTCTAAAATAATGATTGGAATAAGCTGCCAAGACTGAGCCCCACTTTGTCTTTGCCCCAAGAAAATAGTTGTCTAGCCAGACTTGCCTTCTGCTGTATTTTAGCAGCAGTCTCTGAGTCATCCTGCAGCATGAAGATTGATCTGCAGAAGATGCTGTAATGATTTTACTATCCATCTGCCCTTTGTCTGCCTACTCTAAAAAGTTAAGTTTTCCAGTGGAGATTTGCCATCTCCTGATCAGTGTTGGAGCGTCTGCTGTCTGCCTGGCGTCTGTGAGGCTGTGCGGGGTGCTTGGGGAACGAGATTTAGTCTCAGCACCTCACCAAGCTTCGGGCCATTGGATTAAAGAGCAGGAGTTTCCTACACAAGGCTTTCTCCTCATCATTTGGGCAGTCTAAGTAATAACAAGTGTCCTGTGCTCAGCAGTAAAAGGAGTGAACATGAGCACGGAGGCTGCGTAAGGAGGACGCGTGCCCTCAGCGATAACTGATGTGAGTGCCAGGGTACGTTCTGCCCACTTGGCAGCATAGAAAGCCACCTTTTCCCACGGCGGCCACCTCCAGGAGGCTTGGCAGCTCACAACAGCTGACACACCATTGCTTCTTACCTGGAAACAGCTTTCATGTTTTCTAAATGAGGTGAAGAGTTTAGGTGTTGTTTACTTGTTTATTTTCTTTTCCTGCTTTTAATTCTGAGGAATTTGAAGGGTTTGAAAATCCTCACCTGTGTCTCCAGTTCTCCTTTAGGTGGGCAGGACAGAAGTGCGAGGCAGCCCTGAAAACTGGCTTTCCCTGTGGCTGCAGCCTCTGCTGCAGGTGGGGACCAGCAGGGAAATAAGAGCTCTTCCCTAGGGAAAGGGACCATGAAGTCTTAATTTTCCCTCTCATCAGTTTGGTCTCTTTAAAGTGATTTAGTGGAGAATAATATGTATTTTATTATAGAGTACATAGAGGTTTATTAAAATATCTTTAGATATTAAAGTCTTGTGCCATTTATTTTGTTTTTGAGACAGGGTCTTACTATGTACTACAGACTGATCTTGAATTTATGGAGATCCTCATGTGTCAGCCTCCCGAGTGCTGGGATTACAGGCGTGCACCACCTGCTCGGCTTGTTACTTTTATATAGTGTGTTGATTTACTTTTGTAGATACTTGAAAACTACTTCTGGACTGGAGATAGGATGGTAGTGTATCTCCTATTACCTTCACCCAAAGTGAAAAATGATAAATACCCTAGTTAATGTTAATTTTGCAGTATTAACTAACAATACTTATTTCAGCCTGTTGGGAAAAATGTGTGACTAGCACAATTTCATGGACGATATAAGCTTTGTCATTTGTGAGTTTTCATTTATTTACTTACTTGCATGTTCAGATGTATCTGTCATTTACCTGATACCCCAAAGCATGCAAATGTTTAACTGCTAATTTATGGCTATTATTAAGCTGAACTCATGGTGGTGCACAAGCCAGATAGGAAAAACGCATGTCTTATTCTTCCTTGTGTCCCCGGAGCTTAGCGCTGGCCCTGTTCCTATTTGTTGACCTGAATTGAATTCTTTAGATAGTTTCCATGGGTAATGAGTTTCTCTCTTTTAGGTTACTAAATTTAGTTTTCTAATTTAACTATTTGAAATGTGTAGTTGTCTGATAGTGATGGTGTTTGAATTTGCAGTTTAAAACCTGCTCATCAGGGAACCCGAAGATAAAATCCGACTGGGGTGGGCGTGGGGAGAGCTCATGGAGGGCCCCTGAGTGTCACTGAGGCACCCTGCAGGCAGACTGATGTCAGAGCTCCTAGTGCCCTCCAGCCTTCCAGGGGCCTTCCAGTACTAACTTAGAAATGCATTCGGTCTGTTCCAGCCTGCCCTTGAAGTGTGCAGAGCATTTCTACAGGAAGATAAAGGTGAAGGAGTCATTATGGTGACAGACCCTCCTTTTGGTGGCTTGGTTGAACCTTTGGCTGTCACATTCAAGAAGTTGATTGGTATGTGGAAAGAAGGTCAAGGCCAAGGTGTGTAACTATTTAAGGACAAAACAAACACGTGTCTATTTGTTTCTTGTCACTTTAGCCAAGGTCAGTGAATCAGGACACTGGTAGAGTGTACATGTTTTAGGGGGGAAAAGGTTATTTGATGAGAAGCAAACTTCATTATTGTGGTACACTTTGAATTGTCCTCATCATATGTTTTTAAAAAGAGTGGCTGTTTTGACAGTGGCATATTATAAACAACAGTGACCAACTGTTAACATTTGTGCTGTGAATGGCTGAGTGGCTGCATGTGTGGGTGCTTTTTAGGTACTGAGCAGATGAGGAAACCAAGCACATACATTCCCCTCTTCCTGAAGTCTTGTCCCAGAACTCTGAGGGCACCTGATCCCAGGCCCAGCGCACCACGTCCTACCAAGGTGGACCTCTGCCAGACCAGTCAGGGCTAGAAGTGACTTGCAGGTCACCAGCCTGGAGCAGCCTAATGGCTGCGGGTAATTGTTTAGTTTAAAGTGGCTTAGGACTTTTGAGTGTTGTGTGACTGTGTAATTAGTCAGTGTGATCACTTTTTAGATACAGCCTCTAGCTTGTGTATTGGTAAATTGTAAGAAAGTGTCAGCAGTCATGTGATCAAGCTTCTCCATTAATTTGGCTATGTAAGTAGTGTGTTTTTGTAACAGAATATAAGTGAAACCTAAGTTAAAACATGACCCTTCTCATCGTGCTTGCCAGGCAGGCACTTATGCCACCGAGCTATCTCTCCAGCCCCCGTTTGCTATTCTTAAGACCACTAATCAGAGTAGATAAATACAATATTTTATTGTACGTATAAAAGAACTTTTCTGCTGGGTGTGGTGATGTATGCCTGTAATGCCCATCCCAGCATTTGGGAGGCTGAGGCAGGAGAATGCCTGCAGGTTCAAGGCCAACCTGAACAAAACAGCAAAACAGAACAGCCTTTCCATTGGCCTTTGGAAAGGTCAAATTGTGAGATGAATGTATTGGGTGACTGAGACTTTATCAATACTAGAAGTTTTTCAATTAAAGCTATCTTTTATTCTTAAATATCTATTTCTTACTCTTTTCCTTTTTGTTTTCTCTTATGGTCCATTAGGTGACAGTCTCCAAGAAATGCCCATTTTCTGGATTTTCCCCTACTTTTTTGAGGCCAGAATTTGTCAGTTTTTTCCAAGCTTCTGCATGCTGGATTACCAGGTATAGTAACTATTGTGTTTTCTGGTGTGTTTGGAAAATAGTGATTCTGTTTAAGTAAATATTTGAGTAAATACTCTCCATTGGCTTTCATGAACCTTTGAGCTGTATTAAATGTTAAGCTTATACTCACATAGCGTGGTCACTAAATGTCAGTAATCCCTCAGGGGGCTCCTTACCAAGGCAGACTTTTGAGCGGCAGAAGAAACCTACTAAATCAAAATCAGAGGATAAAACTTCAAAAAAACACACCACATTTTACCAAGCTTCCCAAGGCGGTTCTGAAGGCCGCTGGGTGTAGCCAGTTCATCTGTTCTGTCAGCCGCAGATCCTGTGCCCCAGGTTGGCACCTCGGTGTCACTTTTCTCTGTTTAGAGGTAGCGTGGAAGCGCCCTGCTGTTGCTGGTAGGTACTTCTCAGTGCCACTCAGCGGATACCAGGGACTTGAAAGAGGGGTGTCCTGGTGTGGGGTGACAGAGGAGGCTGGATGACTCACTGAAGCGAGTCGCCCCCTCCCCGTGGCGCAGCTGTGGGAGTTTCCATGCCGTCAGTGAGAACAGGCCAGGGTCCACATTCGCACTGCCTGTCCCTCGGCTCGCTCCTTTCCTTGGGTCCTGCTGTGCTTGTCACCAGCTGGCTGGAATGCTTCCTCTTTGGGTAGTGGTACTTTTCTGTTTGAATTTTCCGTATAATTAGCTGCCCCGGACTATGGCCTGTTAGCCCTAGGACTGTAACTGTTTCCACTACTTGTTTCAAACTAGCCCTTTGGGTCTAGTCTGCTGCCTTGTGTGTGTATGTGTGTGTGTGTGTGCGTGTGTTCTGCAGGTTGAACCTTCACACTGAGCTACACTCTCAGCCTTTTAATTTTTTTTTTTTTTTTTTTTTTTTTAAATTTTGGTTCAGGATCCCACAAGTGGCCCAGGCAGGGCTTGAATTTGGGATCTTCCACTGCCACCCAGCTCAGACTAATCTTTCTAACCTTATAAAGGGATGTGCCATAATGAAAATTATTTCAAAATTTACGGAGAAACAGTGTTGCCAAAAAGGAGGGAATTCCCAAACAGCGTGTATTATAATTTTTAAGTACAGTATTCACTTCTGTTCAGTTTTAAAAGCAGTTTTTGCTTGTTTATAATCATAGAAGGCAATTTTGAATTCTTTCTTCTCTAGGACTTTTATAACTGTATGTATGTATTTATTGAGACATGAATTATTACGTATGTATTTATTTATTGAGACATGGTCTTGCTCCGTATACTCTATGTAGTCCATGTTGGCCTGGATCTCCCTAGGTCTAGGTGACTTCACACTCAGGGGGTCTTGCCGCAGCCTCCTGAGTGCTGAGATGCCAGATTTGTTCCACTGCACCCAGCTCTTTAAAGATACCATATAATCCTTATGCTTTTAATAACTTCAGATTATCTCACTCGGGGGCTGTTTTATTACTCCCTTCTTTTTGGACTATAGTTTGTGTTAGAGTATTCTGGTGCAGTAGAGAAGCAAAAAGTAAAAAAATGAAAAGATCAGGTTTATTGAGGACGCAGAGAGAAGCACACAACCTGTGGTGGTTGGCCTGTCTCCTTGACCGGATACGGAGAGGCAGGAGGTTACATGACTCTGATTGGAAGTGGCGCACGGGGCGGATGTTGATGACGTATGAGGAACTGACTGGGATTTTCTTTGCATGCAAATAGGAAGGGGAGTTGCAATTAGGGCTGAAGAAGGAGGAGGAAGTGGTAACCCTTCCTGCTTTGGCCTTCTGTCACGTTAGACCACTGCCATAATTGTATAGTAATTTATACTACGGCAAGAACCTTTCAGTTTGCTTCTCTCCTTTAGGTGCTATGAAGAACACTGCAACAAACATCTCTTTTGCATGTAGTTTTCTCAGAGCTTACATAATTTGGTTAAAATAGATTTCCAAAACTGAGATTACCTTCTCAAATTTAATGGACATTTTTATGGCTTATGAGCCATATTAATAGGCTTCATCTAAAAGTATGCAGTGAGTCATTTTAACTTTGATTGGAGCTCTGCTTCAGACCTAATCTTCAATGTGGACCCTCTCAAAATGGTGCTTCTTTTAGGGCATCCTGTTTTCTGGATTCTTATCTGGAGGATTCTTCTAGAATTGATGTCTATTATGGTTTGTGTGTGGATGTCCCCACAAAGCCTCATGCAGTCATGGAGGCGCTTTTCGGTTGTGGACTTTTAGGTTTGTTATTGATTCACCCCTATGCTGGCATTATGGGTGTTAGTGCTACACCCACCCTAGGGTGGATAACCTACATACAACATAAGAGACAGAAAGAGTCTTCTCTCTGCCCTCCTCCTTTTTGCCTCTTTAGCTCTGGTTGTTTTTGCTTCTGCCTTCTGCCACCATGAAGTGTTGCCCTCTGCCATGCCTTCCTGCTGTGGAGCCAGCTGATTATGGATTGAAACCTCCACAAACTTTAAGCTAAATCACCCTTTTCTTCCCTAATTTTGGGTGTCAGATATTTTGTCCCAGCAATGAAAGAAAAATAATTAAGATGATGGCTGTGATGCAGCAATAATTTACAGCTTCTAAAGGCATTAATTGAGTGAAAGGTTCCAGCTTCCAGCAGCACCCGCTGCTTTTGACAGTGAATAGCGCAATGTGTGGCTCATCGTAGGTGCTGTGTGTGTCAAGTACAAAATTAAATGGAAAAGAGCCTGAACTCTAGAGTGGAAAGGATCTGGGTGTAACCCTGTTCAGTTGCTTATTTAACCTAGATGAAGCTCCTCTTAACCTGTTAAATGAGTATAATAACCGTATACCTGAACACTTACTGTATTTGCTGCCTTCCTTTGACAAGTTTTGTCTTGCTTTTTTTATTTTTCAAAATAAAACAGGTCTTTGTTTTCCTTCTTTTGTTATTTTAACTTCAGTTTCTACATTTTTCCTTGATGCTAGCCTTCATCAAATGAAAAATTTGAATGTCTCCTCTTCTCCTTCACAGATCTGTTCTCATCGTCCTTGATTAGGCTTTTTTTCTCTGACATCAAACTCCTCATCTATAATGCAGTAAAAAACCAAAACAAAGTCTTGAAATGTCTTTTTTGAAAGTACTTTTCAGGTAAAAAGTAGGCAAAAATGCTGCAGATCTTCATAAAGTATAAATTATGTAGACTCTTCGGTGATGAAGCACTTGGTAAGTACAGAATAAAGTAGTTATCAGAGGCTTAGGAAAGCAGGAGTTTTATTAAGGCCAGATTAGAGAGGAAAGGTGCGGTAATGAAATGAAATGCTGATTTAGAGTCAGAATTGTGTGAGTCTACCACTGCCTTTGAGCAGCTGTCTAATGTTGGAGAAGTTGCTTGATCTTTCCAGTCTCTTATTTCCTTCCCTATAAAACAAAATGTTTGAACCAGAGAGGAGATTGTGGTGGCAGAGAAGTTTCCCTCTTAGTGCTGACCTCGGAGACTTCATTGAGCTACCAGGGGCAAGTGGCGAGGAACGTGACTGAGCAGTGGTGTCTACCGCACGGCCGGGAGCGGTGGCCTTCATGTCCCGTGGGCACTGCGTCTGTTCTCACCTCTCCTCCCTTACACATGCCATCGTCTTGCTTCTGCATAACATGGGCTGCTTGTCTGGAATGTTAAAAGTAGATGTCTTTTCTGTTGAGCTGTCATGTTTAAAAATCAGCCTGTATAGGAAACTTCTTCAAGGTTAGTTCCATGGTCAGAAGGGAAAAATATTTGGACAGGAATTTATGGGAAATCATTGTACATTCAAGATGGCAGCCAAAATTCTTGAAACTTTGTAGTGAATATTTAGAGGTTTTTGAGTGAAAAGGAAGATAAGAGATACGGAAATTTTAAATAAGAAATACATGGGAATTGTAAATAAAACGTCACTAGGATATGTGGCATATGCTGGTTGATGGAGCACTTGGGGACTTTTGTATACTGAAATCCAACAGAAAGCAGTCAGGAGAGAGCTGTGGGGTGCTCGTACTCGGTCTTGTTTAACCTGTGGGCCCTGGCACGTTGCCCGAAACATAGTAGGTACAAAATAGGTTTGCTGACTTGAATGTCTTGGTTCTTCCCAGTAACTAGTTCCCGTCTCGTGCTACCAGAAGTGTTTGTGTATAGATCTAATTAAAAGTTGGGAATTGCAGAGATTTTGTGCTTTCCCTCATTTCTATACAGTACTTCATCACATTAATCAGTTCCATGGGAGAAATTTTCTATCTGAAAATGCCTCTCATCATCATTGTGAGTGAAATGTCAGGGATAATGATGGGGAAATGGTGTATCAGCTCTACCGCCAGTGATATGCAATTTGCAAAATTGTGTTTGCTTTACAGCACTTCCACAGGAGGTTTATTTGTGTGGATGAAGCGATGAAATATGGATGTATGTTAGAGGTACATTAATTTACTCTAGCAGCATGCATTTTACATACCATATGTTTATAGTTAATTAGCACAACAAATCCACATTTAAAAATAATAATAATCTCAATTAGGTTATGCAAAATGAAGCAATCAGCCACCTTCCTGACATATAACATTCTTCCACTCCTTGGGTAACCATAAAGACATTGTTCTTCTCCCCTCTTCCATCTGTGATCTATTATATTGCATGGAATATTCCATGTATTAGAAGTCTTTCTACAATATTATTTTCCAACATATGAAAATCTTTGTAAGAGTCTCATGAGAAGAATTGTTTTCCTTATACTCATAAATTTATGTTCAAAATCTTTGTTGAACTTAATAAGGGTCCATGTAGTTATTTGAGTGCACAAAGGAGCACATTAGCAAAAAAATTAGAAATTTAAATCATTTTAAAAGGAAACTACTTCAGGTACTATTTTAAGGTGATTTTGAAGTAAAATCTATTTTTGTCTACTAGTCTCTAATAGGTAACATATATTCATAGAAATTTGAAAGTTGGAAAGCAACAGAGGTAACCTGGGCTGACTTCCCAATGTAATAATCCTCTCTGCTAAATTCATGACAAGCCGTCATCAAGCTTCACTTGCATGCTCTCAGTGAGCAGAGTCCTACAGCCTTACAAGGCAACTCAATTTATTTAATAGCTCTAATCGTTAGAAAATTTTCTCATATTGAGATAAAATATGCTCCCCATTAACTTCTAACCATTGGTCCTAGTTCTGTTCTTTGAAGCAATAAGGGATAAGTCTAATTTCTATTCCATCTGACACCCAGTTAGGAAAGCTGTCAGTTCCTCCAAGTCTTCTCTTTTCTGAGTAAACATCCCCAATTTGTTCAACTGGAAATCCCATTCTTTCCCGTTACTTCCAGTAGAGATGACCTGGTTTATCAGTGTCTCTCTTAAACTGAGACCGAGCACAAGGTGCAGATGGGGTCTGGCAGGAGCCCTTCTGGCTGGGACAGTGTCCTTACATAGGGGTTGCCTGGGAGCCCGTGGCTTCCACACCGGAACAGGCATTGCGCGCACTGTGCCACCAGCTGGAAACTCCTGTAGCTGTGCACCCGTCCCCTGGCCCTCCTTATTCACAGCTGAAGCTTAGGAACCAGCCTTTCTCAGTGTGTTCCCCTGGAAATGTGACAGGCACTCACAGGGAACTGGTGGGGTCCTGGAGAGACCGAGGCTCCACCACCAAAGGCCTCGCCCTCATCACCAAGTGCTTACATTTCTGTGATTTGCTTATTAGCCAGCTTGCCGGCCAGTGGTGCTGTCAGCTCCTGTGTATGTTCTTCCTCAGAAGAGAACTGTGTTATCCCACCTTATCTGAAAGCTGAGATCTGCCTGTATTGGACCCACACAAAGCTCCTGATACTCTTGTGGATGATCTAAAGTAGTGGTTCTCCAACTTGAGTGTGCCAGGAGCCTTGTTAACTGGGCCCTGCTCCCAGTGTTTCTAATTGATTAGGCCCTCTGCCAGTGCTGGAGAACTTGCATTTCTCCCAGATCCCAGGTGAGGCTGGTGTTGCCAGTCCACCTGGGGAATTACTGATCTAAGGATGGGTTAGTGACCAGGTTAGCTCCTAGCAGAGCCAAAGCCAAGCTGAGAATGTGTGTGGACAGCGGCGGAGGTGGGGGAGATGCTGATGGAGATCTTGCTTTTAGCTTTAGAGATACTCTGCTGAGACTGCGAAGTAGGGATCTTGAGAAGAGGTGAGTGCAGGAATAGTCATTATGGAGGAGCAGCTGCAGTGGGCGTGCTCTCCTCACCTCCATGTTGCACCCCATCCCAGGCCCTGGACTCAGCAGTTTACATGCGTGGTGCCGTTTAGCACCTTAGCTTCCCAGCAGCTAAGGTAGGAGTGGCCAGCCTCTTCTTACAGGTGTGAAACTTGTAAACTTGCCTAAGGTCACATAACAAGTAAGTGGCAGGGCGACAGCCTGGCCCCAAACCAGTGCTCCTCCTGAATGAGAGAGGGCAGATAGAGGACAGCCAGCCTGAGGCTGCAGTGGGGCTGGGGAGCTTTACATGCGCACAGGAATGGCTCAGGGCTTACTTTTAATGCATTTTTTTTTTTTTTTTTTTAGACAGGATTATACTATGTAGTTCAGGCTGGCTTCAAACTCATGGCAGTCTGCCTGCCTCAGCCTCCTGAGTGCTGGGATTTCAGGTGTGTGTACCACACCACGAGTGGCTTTTTAACGCTGGTAACACCTAAATTCTTTTTTTTTTTTTCTTTTGGTGGTGGAATTGGGGATTGAACCTGGACACATCCCCTACTGACCTAAATTCCTTTCTTTTTTTAAATTAAATTTATTGGTACAATTTAGATATACTTATCTAATTGATCATTCTTATCATAGGGAGTTTGTACCTGTACATGAAACATCTTTGTACCTCTTTTTTCCCATTCCTCTCCCCTTCTTTCATCCCTTTTTCCTTCCTTATTTACAAAGCTTTCTTTCCATCTTATCTTTTTCTCATTTTTTTCTTTCCCTTTTCTTCCTTCCCCTTCATGTCGCCCTAGTTCCCTTATCCTTTTGAACAATTTCTTTCAGAATTTCTGTTTCACATTTTGGTGTTATTTACACTTTCAGTTTTTCACACCAGAGAGATAATATGATGTTTACACATGTGTGTCTGCTTTGTTTCACTTAAGAGTATGGTCTCAGGCTCCATCCACTTAGCTATAAATGACTCAACTTTATCCTTTATGGCTGAGTAATGCTCCACTGTATTAAAAAAAAACTTTTTATCCACTCATCAGTTAAAGGCCTGTAGGGTTGTTCCTAAGATTTTTAACTATTACAAACTGTGCAGATGTCTCTGTGGTATGATACTTTGAATTCTTGTGGAAAGATACCAATAAGGGGAATAGCTGAGTCGAAAGGAACCTCTAGTCCTAGTTTTTGAGGAATTTCTGTACTGATTGCACCACTGGTTGCACCAGTCTGCACTCCCTCTAACAGTGGAGAAAGGTTCGTTTTCTCTCCAGTGTTTGTTACTGGTTGATTTCTTGATAATAGCCATTCTTTCTGGGCTGAGGTGGACTCTCAGTGTTGTTTTCATTTGCATCTCTCAAAGGATCAGTGATGCTGAACATTTTTTCATGTATTTATTTGCCATTTGTATTTCTTCATCTGAGAAATGTGTGTTCATCTCAGATACCCAGTTTTGAATTGGGTCTTAAAATTTTGCAGAGGATCAGTTTGTATAAATTTTTTACATATTCTGGATAGTAGTCCTTTGTCTTGGGAACAGCTGGCTAAAATTATTGCCCACTGTGGGTTTTCTCCACTCTTGGTGGTTTCTTTTGCTGTGCAAAACTTTTTAATAAGAGGAGATCACATAGTTCCTGTGTGATTGGAGTTTTGTTCATGAAGTCTTTGCCTACCTGGATGTCTTCAAGAGTTCTACTTACTCTCTGTCCCAGCAGATGTAGTGTTTCTGTTTTAGTGTTTAGATCTTTACATTTTGACTGTAGTTTAATGCATGGGGATAGACATGTGTCTAGTCCTAGTTTTCAGCATATGGAGAGCCAATTTTTCCAGCACTATTTATTAAAGGCTACCATTCTTCCAGTGAACATGTTTGGTTCCTTTGTCAAAGAGGCTGGTGACCTTCTATTCTGTTCCATTGATCCCTGGGTCTGGTGTGTGTGTGTTTGTTTGTTTGTTTTTACCAATACAATGCTGGGGTTGTTTGTTTGTTAATTCACAGTGTAAGCTACATTCCTGTCTCTTTTTTTATTTTTTATTTTGAGAGAGTCCCCTTAAGTTGCTCAGGCTGGCCTCAAACTGGTGATTTTCTGTCTCAGCTTCTTGAGTAGCTAGGATTACAGGCATGCACCATTGTGCCTGGCCTAAAATCTAATTTCTTAACTATATAATACAGTATCTTACAAAATCTATTGTATTGGATACAAGATTGGAGTTGTCCCCTTAATAGCTGGAACACGTATTTATCATAACAACTTGTATTTTTCTTATAATGAAATTTCACTGCCATAGAGGCCTCCCCGAGGCTGCTCATTAATACAGAAAACTCCCCAGCACTCGAGAGGCTGAGGCAGAAGGATCATTGTGAGTTCAAGACCAGCCTATATTACGAAGTGAGCTCAAGGCCAGCCTGAACTGCATAGTGACATCCTGTCTCAGAAAGGCAAAAAATAATAACAATAAAATAAAATAGAAAACTCTTACTTTTAAGAATTTATTAAATCCTTTGATTTAGCTTGTATCATCGGCTTCTTTATTGTATTAGTCACTTTTCATTCCTAGGAGAGAATCCTGACATGGATGACTTAAAGGAGAGGAGAATTTATTTTGGCCTACAGTTCCTAAAGTTTCACTGGCTCAAAGGCAGAAACATCACAGAAGGGCATGGCAGAGAAAAGCTGCTTACCTGAGGGCAGCTAGGAAGCAGGGTTAGCTAGGAAGAGCCAGAGAGGACCAGATGCAGTCCCCGAGGTCACCCTCCAGGTTATGACCCAGACACATCCAGAAGTGTGCATTACAGATGTCCTAGGTGGCTATCAAGCTTCTCAACATTAACCATTACATTTATTTATTGATTAAAGGCATTTAGTGAATGGCTTGAGTAAGTTTTCTTTTTGCTTTTTTTTTTTTAACCTTCTAGGTAGATTATGATAACCATGCACTTTATAAACATGGAAAGACAGGTCGAAAGCAGTCTCCTGTGCGTATATTTACCAACATTCCTCCCAACAAAATAACCCTTCCCACTGAAGAAGGGTACAGGTAAGATCGCAGTAAGACCTAGAAATTCACAAGTCCCCCAGTGTGCGTTACCTAACTATAAAGTGTTCTCAGTATTGAGTCATTTAGTTCTATTCTTTTTAAGTTTAGTCCACGATTTTATATTGAATTGAATTCTGATTACCTCTAGCTTTTGGAACAACTGTCTTGTAAACTTAACTGTACTGTTAAACTCAATAAACACTGTATATGTTGCTGATTTTGCTGTCTTTCCTCTTTAGATTTTGTCCACTGTGTCAACGATACGTTTCTCTTGAAAATCAGCACTGTGAGCATTGTAATTCTTGTACATCCAAGGTAGAAGTTTCTTGTCTAGTGCATTTTTATTTAAATATATTAGTTATATTTTAGTTTACTAGTCATTGCTTTTTAAAACTCTCTGTTGCAGTTTGTGTTAATATGTATCACCATCATTAATTATACTTTAATATAATAGTACTTCATTTCTAATTATAGAGTACAGCAGCTTGTTAAAGTACTTCCTTCATCATCATCAACAGTTCCTTGAATTCATTTCCATGTGGTGCTCTGTGACTGCTAAAATTAGGAGTGTTTCAAATAAGCCACTAAATGAGTGCTAAATTTATATCCCTATTGAGGGCAAAATTATGGTGTTTTAAATAAGGCATTGAACTGTTAGATAGCATCACTGTTCCGGTGGAGTAAAAATTCATAACATGCGCCACGCACTTTGTGAGTGCTAGGCCCTTTCCCAAGAGTTGTGCATCGATTAGCTTACTCCTCACGATAGCCTGGTGAGACAGACCCAGTTACTCCCTGTGTTTTCACAGATGAAGAAGAACTGTGTGGGGCAAATCTATTTATTCATTTAGCCACTATTTTTCATAAACATTTTTAAAAACAATTTGAGCCGGGTGTGGTGGCACATTCCTATAATCTCACTACTCTTAGCGCTTGAGCAAGAGGATTGCGTGAGTTTGAGGCCAGCCTGGGCTACATCATGAGACCCTGTCTCAAAACAAATTAATTTAAAAAAAAACAAAACCCAGAAAATCATTTTGAGTTCACAGCGAAGTTGAGGGAAGGTACCGAGATTTCCCACCTCCCCCTCCCTTGTCTCCCCTGTGTGAATACCATGCTGGGCTCTGCATTGTGATGCTTGGTGACCTCCGTGGTCACGTGCTGACACTCAAGTCCCTGGTTTTCATTCACACGCACTCCTGGTGTTGCACATTCTGTGAGCATGGATGACTGTACAAGGACTTGCACCCACCATTGTAGTGCTGTACCACTTACAGTGTTCTCTAAAACTCTGCTCTGACTGTTCATCCCTCCTGCCTCTCCACCTGCTAGCAAACACTGATCTTTTTCACTGTCTTGTAGTTTTTCCTTTTCCGGAATGTCATGTATTGGAATACCCAGCATATGTGAGTTCATTTCAGGTTGGCTTCTTTCATTTAGGCATTTAAAGTTCCTCCTTCTTTTTTTATGGCTTCATAGCTCATTCTTGTTATGATATTCATTGTCTGGCTGGGTCACCATTTATTTACCTGTTCACCTACGGAGGATATCTTGCTTGCTTCCAAGTTTGAACAATTACAAATAAACCTCTTATTCAGTTTTCAGGAAGGCAGAATGTCCCTTAAGTTGCTTTGTTTATTTTAATGAAATGTAGTAAGAGAGTGCATGTGGTGTTTAGTTTGGCTTTTACACACAATTCTCTAAAGAAAAGGCCACGTTTATGTAAATATTAGAAAGCACATTTTTTATGATTATATAGTTGCACTGTTTGTACGTGTTTTTAACTCTGGTAACACTTCTGATTATATGCTTTCATTTATTTGGGGAATAATCTGTGGTATGCCCAGAATATATAATATATATAATTGGGAAAAACAAAACTTTATTTATACATAGATGGGAAAAATAAATAAGCTGGAATAAGTGTCAGGCGGTGGGAAGGGTGTGACAGGAAGGGGACTTTGCAGGCTGGTGGTGTCTGCTTTTTACCTGGTTACTTCCTCACTGGTCTGTGTAATGCTCAGTCCCAGGAACTGTATTCTTGCGCTCTTTTAGATGTTTTATTTGACTTTTAAAATGACTCAAGCGGTAACTGTAATCTATTTTTCTAAGTTACCGAAGCTCTCAAACCTGAATTCCATGAAGGTTGTGCAGTGTAGACATAAAATTCTGAATCATTAACTCCCTTGAAATTTTCATTTGAGTCTCTTGTGCGTATTGGGCTGCTTGAACTGGAGCGGCATTTCGAGATCACTTGGATAATCTTCTCGTTTCGCAGTTACAGCAATCGAGGCCCATCAAAGAGGCATTTGAGTTGAGTGGAGAAAGGAGTAAATTAAAATCAAAGTAGTTAATTGTGAAGCTCGGGAAGGGGAGAAATAAGAATGAATAATTTACACAGATTTTAATAAGACATTTTAATTTTTAATTGTGGGACTTGATTTTTAATAACAAATTAAACATAATTTAAAATTATTTTTGTAGGATGGCAGGAAATGGAAGCACTGCTTTCTCTGCAAAAAGTGTGTAAAGCCTTGTAAGTATTAAGAGTTGTTTAAGATTCTGTAAAAACATGTTTGATGGTTTTCTTTCATAGGGTTTTTACTTACTTGCATTTATAAAGGAAAAATAATTAATGTATAGCCTTGCATTAGCTCATCTGCTTTCTGGTTTTCATACTTACCTGCACGGACCTTCTGTCTTTGATAAGAAGGCCTACTGCCCTATGTCAGGGTGACTTCTGCCTTCACTGTTAACAGGACACTGTGCTGCCCTGACGGCCTCTGTTGTGACAGTGGCTGTCAGCTCGTGATGTCTTGGGGAAGGAAGGGCTGAATTTGTTGCCTTGTAACTGAACAAAGTTAGTTGGTTTACATCAGATTCCAAATTCTTTATTTTGGTCTCTGTAGCAAAATTAGAACTAGCAACGCGGGCTGAAGATACAGCTCAGTGACATGGAGCCTGCTTGGCAAGGGTGAGGTCCTGAGTTGGATTCCTGGTAGCCCGCCCCCCCCACCCCCCCAAAAAACCAGTTATACAAGCCAGCCAGCCACAGTGTTTTTGGTTTCTCTAGGGTTTGTTTGTTTTGTTTTTTGAGACATGGTCTCACTCTGCAGTCCAGACAGGCCGTGAACTCAGTATGTAGCCTAGGCTGGCCTCAAACTCTTAGTGATTCTCCTGCCTCGGCCCCTCAAGTGCTGGGAGTACAGGTGTGCACCACTATGCCTGGCAAACAGTGTATGAAGTAAGCGTGAGCCCATGTGTGCTACCTTAAAAGTTAGTAAAAGGAAAAATGGCGTTGAATGAACTTCTAACCTAATGTTTATTTTACAGCCTGGGTCCACTGTAGATTTTGCAATCACTGTGCTGTCTCACATCACTCGTGTGAGGGCCCTAATGATGGCTGCTTTATTTGTGGTGAGCTGGATCACAAACGCAGTTCTTGCCCTAACATCGGCATCTCGAAGAAAGCCAGCAAGTTAGTCGAATTCTTTTATTTGCTATAAAATGACTTTTCCTTGTGTGCTTTGTATGGATCAATCTACGAAGGTCCACAGAACGTGGAGAGTGAGACATGCTGAGTGAATGGTCATTTTCACTGTCACATAGATGGGGAAGGGATTATTTGCAGATTATCACATGGCCAGATTTAATATTACATGGAAATTAAGGTTAGGAGAAAAAATTGAACCATCAAGTGATTTGTAATTTTAAAAATGTAGATTAATATTAGTCTTTGAGGCTTTCATAACTTTTGATAATTACAATTATTTTTCATTTGCTTATGTTTATTTTTTTGGCCAGTGAAAAATATTTTTTCATTAAAGTCCAGCCATTTGAATTTTGCCTTCTAGTAAACTGTCACTGTTGTTAATTACTTACACTAAGTAATCCAAAGTAGAAGTGGAATTGTAAACAATTAAATGAAAAATCTTTTTTTGTTTTTATTTTATTTTATTTTATTTCTTTATCGGTACCAGGGATCGAACTCACGGCCATGCGCTTGCAAGGCAGGCGCTTATGCCGCTAAGCTGGATCCCCAGCCCCTAAATGAAAAATCTTACAAATATTCCTTAAAACCTTCAAAACTTAGCGTATAGTCTAATAGACTTCCTGGCCTAGGATTGCTGCAACTGCAGTGTCATTTGGAGTAGAAATAAGTTAGTGACATGCTCAGCCCTCAGTTCTGGGGAATTTATGACACATGGAAACTGAAGTCACACATGGTGACACTGTAGAGTATAGCCTCTTCCTTGCTTTCAAATAGTCAGTACCTTTGGTAGTGCCATATTGGTTTTGTTTTTGTTTTTTAGAGGAAGTCACCTAGTGTCTGTCAGTATCAGATTTTATCAGGTTCCGTTTGCTGGCTTTTTGAGATTCCGTCTTGCTGCATAGCCCAGGGTGGTCCTGAACTTGAGATCTTACTGCCTCAGTCTCACAGTGCTGTCATCACAGGCATGTGTTACACACCTGGCTCAGATTTTACCAATTTTAATTCCAGTTGATTATCTTTTAAGAAGTGGGATGTTTGATAATATAAATAGTATTATTTTTCCTCTCCAGAGACTGCTAAATTCCTGTTAACGGTGCTTTAAAAATACTTTTATAATGAAATTGCTCCTGCAAAAGTATTTTTTTTCTTTAAAAAAAAATTTTTTTTTTTGGTCTTTTTGAGACAAGCTCTCACTGTACATTTCAGGCTAGCCTTGAGCTCACTTTGTAGCCCAGGCTGATTTCAAATTTGCAACAATCCTACTGCCTCAGCCTCCTGAGTGCTAGGATTATAGGCGTGCACCACCATGCCTGGCTAAAAAATTTTTTTTAGTTTTTTGGTTTTCTGGTTTTGAAACAAGATTTTTGCTATGCAGTTTAGGCTGACCTGGAGCTCATCTTGTAGCCCAGGCTGGCCTGGAATTCACAACAATACTGCCTCAGCCTCTTAAGTGCTGGAGTTTCAAATATGTGCCACCATACCTGGCCATTTTTTTTCTTGATAATGGTAAAAAAAAAAAAATTAACATTTTAGCATACGTACCATGAAAAATCTTTCAATCTCATGCTTTTTACAGCTGTCTTATTTTGTTTTTCTCATTCATTGTAATTTTCCTTTAGGTGCCGAGTAGAATGATGCTGGCTCCCTCTTGTGGTGAAAGATCATTTTACCAGTTACATAAGTCCTACTGTAGCTGACAAACCCTAGGTCAGTTTAAGTGCAAGGCAAAATAAAACAGTTAATGACATGTATTCAGTCAGTGCATCACAATTCAAAGACTTTATCTCTGGAAAATTTTGTTTATTTTCCTTCCGTTTTTGTTGACTGTGTCCCCTAGTGAAATCTCATATACTTTAGAACCTGCTTATGAATAGATGAACCGAAGAAGTAAAATGTAAACAGGGATACACAGCTTCATTGACTTTCCTGTTACAGATTGTAATTTACTTTATCAAATTCTCTAAGTTATTATTTATCAGTAAATTTCCTACTTTAACAAAACAGCTGGAGAAGGAAGAAGCACAACACAGTATAAAGTTAATAGTTTTATTTTACGAGGTACCCCAGTTCACAATGCAAAATCTTAAGTAGAGAAAAATGCAAAGTTGTTGCATAAAGTTCTGCATGATGATTATATGAAACTACTAGTCATAGCCAGTATTTATTGAATGACTACTACACAGTTGGCATTTTGCATAACTGAGGAACTTACACTCAAGCGTAATGGGGCGATTAAAAGTGAGTTCTGGAATCCAGCTGGCCTGGGCACTTTCTTCCTGGTGATCATAGTAATACAGAAAGCCTCACTTTCTGAACCAAAAAAACTCAACAGCTGGGGATGTGTTTGCCTGGTCTCCCATCTCCTTGTCACAATTTCTGTATTCACAAGGCTAACGCACAGTGCCAGGTGAGCAGGAAGTGAGGCTGTGTCCATGAGAGGGTCACAGGCTCCCAGCTTCTGTCCTGGGCAGAGCAGAAGGACAAGCTTGTTGCACATGAGAGGTGACCCTGGAAAGCCAGGGAGGTGCCCACGTGTGCCATTGCCGTCTGTGCTGCCTGCTGGTGGGTTCTTGTTAGGGTCAGTGACAAGACCCGCCGCCTAGAGCCCCTGGCTGAGCAGAGCAGTGTCTTTCCCAGGCTCGGCGCCTCTGTAACTTAGTTCAGAGAGCACCAGGAAAAGGAATCTCTTTATGTTCAGGGAAGGTGTAGTGATTTTAGAGAGTATGGACTTCATTTTGAAGTGAGGCTTCAAGAAAATAGGATCACAAAAGGTGGGCATCCTGTGTGTCACCTGCCAGGACCTAGATCTGCAGAAGAAAGGGCAATTAGCTGCTGGGCTTATGAAGTGGGCCCTTTCTATGTGGTCAGGTTTTTCTATTGTGCTATTTCATCCTACAACCTCTGCTGTCACAGGTATTATTCCTGTCCTAAAAAATGTGACTTGGGGTTTGGAGAGTGATGTGCCTAATTGAGCAGTATATCCCCCCCCCAAAAAAAAACAACAACAAAAAAGGGAAAACAAATCCCAAAACAAACACATTGGTGTGGCTATTTACCTCTGTGGGGTGTTTGTCCCCAGGTACTTTGTTCTAAATCCATAGCAACCATCTTTTATAGAAATGTCTTTTCTCCAGCATTTGGCTTAGTCAGGCCTCCATTTCCTTGCTGTTATGGTTAGGATACTGAGGATTTATGCTTACAGTACTACAAATTGTTTTTCTTCTTCTATTTTCTTATTTGGTTAGCTAGTTAATTAAACTTCAGCGTAATTACATAATTCACTATGCTCATTCTAGAAAATAATTTAGCACCTTGTTTTTCAGAGCTGTCAAGAAGCAGAAGCAAAGAAAAAGTATTAAGATGAAAATGGAGACCACTAAAGGACAACCCATGAATTATAATCTGTTACAAGGAAAAAGAAGAGGACGGAAAGAGCCCATCAATATCTCTGCGCTTAAATGTCCAGTGACTTGAGAATAAGGAAGATTTATAGTGCAGCCTTTGATGCCATTTTCTGCAAGTGCCACACTGGACTGAAACTCAGTGGCTTTCACAGGTGCTGCCCCTTCCTGAGCTCAGTAATAGATACGTGGCACTGGCTGGTTTATCGTCCCCTCTGCCTCAGAGCCTGGGCGTTGTTCCTCCTCCGCTGGCGCACCAGCTCTTTCCTCCTCAAGTCTTCCCAGCCTTACTACTTTGGCCTCTTTTTGTCTGAAAAAAAGACCCCGTGCTTCCATTTACAGTGTCGAAGAAAATGAAAATGGAAACCTATGATGTTTGTTCATATTGAACACAAAAATATGTTAAATACTAAACAGTGCTTTAAACCCCTCTTTTGAAGACTAGTCTATCATTCTTAGTTTGAATCTGGAGGCAATGAAAAGAATTTTTACAAAGACACTCTAAAGATAGATATATATATATAGATTAGCTGGACAGGGTGGCACATGCTGAAATCCCAGCACTCATGGAGCTGAGGCAGAAAGGTCGTTGCAAATTTCAGATCAGCCTGGGCTACAAAGTGAGCCCAAGGCTAGCCTGAACTGCATGGCGACACCCTGTCTCAAAAAGACTAAAAAATATATATGCATGTGTATGTATATGTATATGGGTTAAATTACAGTTACATTATTACTTGAGGGGGGTGCCAGGGATTGAACTCAGGACCTTGTGCTTGCCAGGCAAATGCCGTGCCACTGAGCTAAATCCCCAGTCCCACAGTTATACTGTTAAAAATTTATTTCTGCAGTTCTTGTCCTCTGATTGGGTAGACTCCCTCAGTGTCGGATGAGACACTGTGAATTAGGACCTGCTTCGCTGTCTTCTCCCCGTGCTGTCATTTTGTCTCTGTAAATGTAGTTGGTGACAAAGGTGGGATGCTGACTCAGCTCCTCATTCCCTTCCTGACCGAAAGGCCTGGCTGCATGGTCTTGGCTTGGTCACTGGCCAGGTGGACCCGTCGCTTCACTGTCGTGATAAAGACTGTCATAGCTGCAGGTGGTGGATGCAGATGAGACACCCTGGTTCTCACTCTGCTGTGTCATGGGGGAGGCCAGCTAGCAGGGCCACAGCCCTGAATTCCCAGAACAAGCCCGTTATGTCCCCATTTCTCTGCCCGGTGTCTGACCTCCTTAGGACTGAATAGTTGTAAATAACTTAAATTTGCATAGTGACTTTCTTTGGTTCCCAAACAACTGGGTAGAGCCAGTGTGGAGGTGTCTTTGGCGTGGGCTGGAGCTCTGTGAATGCTATACCCCATCTGGTACTTAAATTTCAGGTGAGCCAAGGGCTGTTTGATAGCATGATATGGAATACATGGCCCAACTAATCAGAGAAGTGTTGTATACTATGCAGCATCAAAAGATGAATTGGGGCTGGGGATTTAGCTCAGCGGCATAAGTGCCTGCCTTGCAAACAGGCAGTCGTGAGTTCGATCCCTGGTACCAATTAAAAAAAAAAAAAAAACGATGAATTAAGCTTTGGGGCCTGGATAAAAGCCAGGAAATGATGCAGAATACTCAAGGATGGCCTAGACCAGTAGGGCAGTGGTGACCTCAAAGATGAAACAAACTCTAGGACTTCAAAATCAGACATGTTGTTTTGCCACTGTTTTTGTTTCCTTTCTGTGGTGCTTGAGATGAACCGAGGACCCTGCACACAGTGAGCAAGGACTGTGCCCCACTGTGTCTTCACTGGCACTGGGCTTCATTCCTCAGCCCTTGAATTTGTTTTTCAGTTTGGAAATGGGTTCTTGCATTACGAAGTTGCCCACACTGACATCAAACTTGCAATCCTCCGGTCTCTGCCTCCCGTGGTGCTGAGGTTGTCGGCAGTTACCCTCCCACCCAGCTTCAGTGGTTATTTCAGCTCTCCATTCTTCAACTTTAAAATAACCTCAATCGTAAAATGCACCATTGAATCTGGACCTGGCAGTCCATCCCTGCAGACGCAGCTACGTGGGAGGCTGAGACCGAGGGGACCTGTTGTAGGGAAAGGGTGTCAGTAGGCAGGGAAGGAATAAAATAAGGGCCTCACTAAGGAATTAATTGAAAATCTTACTAATAAGGGAAAGTGGAAACAAAGATTTGTAAGTGGGGAGGAGAAGAGGGAGGAGGGTAGGGGAAGGGGAGAAAGAAGAATCATCACGTACAGGTACGAGATGTGATCATGGATGTCATGGATGTGATCATTATGTACATCTAAAATGTAACAGTAAAATCTGATTTAAAAAGCGTCTTACTAAAAGCAGCTTTTACTTCTGCAGTTAAGAGTCCAGTGATTAGAAAAACAAAGGTGAGAAAGCAGTTAACGTAAGAATTTATCAGGAAGGGTGGACAGCAGGGATGAAGCCAGAAACATGGAAGCCCAGGGTGAGCAACCCCCTTACATCTCCAGTAAAACACAAAGGAGACAACGGGCGGCCGCCTACAAGCTCTCACTTAGGGTATAAACGTACGGGCCTGCCTGTACATTTATTCACAGATGCGCATCCTCACTCTGGGGTCACCGTATTTCTGCATTAGATGGCTGACATTAAAGCTGCCCCACACTTCCCAAGACAGAAGGGCCTGGGTTCGAGTCAAAGACAGCCGGAGTCGGCCAGCCCGAGGGTGGCGAGTTCCAGGTGCCCACGAAAGGGAAGGGTCAGCAGTCCTAATAAAAGGAAACGCGACAAAGAAGATTCACCTTTCCAGGGCCCCTACTCCAAAGTAGCCATCTGCCACCTCCTCCTGTCTTTATTCTAAACTCCATCTCTAGTCCGTTACTGGTGCTGAGTACAATCCCAGTTGGCTGCGGTTCCAGCAGAGCAGTGGTGCGTGTAGCTGGGACACCACACATCAGCTCAGGAGTTGCATGTAGGCAACACAGTAAGACCCTGTCCCAAAAAAGAAAAAAAAAAAGATTGTACCGTTGATTGATTTTATCACAGCTGCTAGCTGCCAAGCAGAAAAAAGAAACAGTTTCATTAATTGCACAAAATAATTTTTAGATTTTCTGATTTTAGGAATACTGAAGTGCAGAAGAAGCACATTTTAGAATTGAGTAAATAGACTTAGTTATCATCAGGGATGTTGTGCTTTAAATCCATCTTGCCTTCCTAGAAAATTAAAAATAGGCACTTTGGTAACTGCATCCTTTGTGTGAATTGCTGGGGTTACAGGTGTACACCATTACCTGCATCTTCTTGCCTATATGAGAAATTTAGTGAGATCAAAGTATTTTGTAGGCCCCAGTGAACCTATTTCAGGATTTCTTTGTCTTGATTAGTCCCATACTTTGTGTATTTCTTCAGCACAGTGAGTCCCAACTTAACGAGTTTTGTTCTGGGAGAACCTAAGTTGGATTTGTCTGTAAATCAACAAAGTAAGTCTTATATACAGCTGTGGAAGTAAGCCGGGGACTTACTGGGGCTTACTATATTCCCACCCCCAATTTTTGTGGTGCTGGAGATTAACTCCATCATTCTGAACTATATTCCCATCCCTTTTTTTTATTTTGAGACAGTGTCTTGCTAAGTTGCCCAGACTGAGCTCAAACTTGCCATCTCCTTGCTTCAGCCTCCCAGAGGCTTTTGGCCTTATCCCATTCTTTTCATCTGTACTACACCTCTGCTTGGTGTTTTCTGAAGTCTTTCGGGGTCTTCAGGCTGTGGCCGGGTCCCATTCCTTTCTGGGAAGCATTCCCTGAGTTCAGATCCTGGCCAACTGTGTTCCTTCCATCTGAAGCACTTAAATTCATGTAGTATTTTATGACTTTATTTACAGACCTCATTCCTCTGAAAGACTTAAGATTCTCAGCGTCAGTACCATTTTATCCATTCTTCCATCTCTTGTTCCTTGTAGGTACTTCATAAAAATCCAACAAAGGAATGGAGTTTTCTAGAGCAGATGATAGGTGTGCCCGAGCCAGGAGTTCAGTTGCGTTGGTCTGCTCCCTCAAGACAGTGAAGGAAGGAAAGGTGGGAAGCGACAGGGGGCCTGTCCCAGGTGGAAGCTGAGTGGCCATGTGCCCGGAGAAGATTGGGAGCCTTGGAAGCAAGTCTGCAGGCTTACAAAATTCAGCTTGTAGAGTAACTTTAAGAAATCTTAATGCCTGATCTGGGCATGGTGGCACACACTGATAATCCCAGCACTCTGGGAGGCGGAGGCAGGAGAATCCATGTTCAACTCCAGCCTCAGCAATGTAGTGACTTAGCAAGACCATTTTTCAAAATTAGAAAAAAAAAAATTTTTTTTTTAAAGAATGACTAGGGTGGCAGGAGATTTAGCTCAACGGCATAAGCACCTGCCCAGCTAAGCGCTAGGTTGTGAGTTTGATCCCTAGTACCTAAATAAAAAAGTAAATAAAGTTCATATGGTATTTTAAAAGAACGGCTAGGAATGTCCCAAAGTAAAGGCACTGGGTTCAATGCCCAGTAAAGGGAAAAAGGGAAAAAACCTTTACATTGATATCTGGCCCCTTCCGAGTAATCTCTAAAATACTGAGCATCTGAGAAAAATCTGACAAATTTTGAAATACAAAGCCACGGTTTATAAAGCTGATTTGCTGCTTCCTCCACAGTGGCCATGTTGTCCTTGTTTCCACGGGAGACCTTTGGCTGGCAAGATAAAAGTATATGCATATTTTCATTTACAGTTCTGTAAAGTGCTTAACACCCCCCTCCCCAACTGTATTAGGAGGGCGCCATGAACTCATTCTTCCCTGTACAGATTACAAGCTGTCGCCCGCTGAGGCCTGGCCATCACTGGTTCTACTCACTGGGGCTCGCAGAACCGTGCTGAGCACGTGGTGACATCAGAGAGGCACGCATGTCACGTGACCTCAGTTAACAGGAAGCCGGTAGCCCAGATGATGGGTTTTTCTAGCAGTGGGTGCTCCTGAATACCAACGCAGTCGTGCGAAGGCCATTTTATAGACTGCTTTATACCTCAAAAGCTTAATGTCCTATTACACCTAGCACTACCTAAGTAAGGGAAGTGCCCCAAAATGTAAAGGAAATCTAATTTCACTTATTTGATGTGATTTTAATTGGAACATTAGGACATGGGTTAAATTACTTGCGGGTCAGCTAAGAAGGTCACTGCAATCAAGTGAAGATAAGATCTCCACTGTTTGATTTCAGCCAGTTTAGAATAAATGTTAACTCAGCAAGATTGAGGAAAATAGCACCAGAAGTGAGCTAGAAGATCTCAAGCTGTTAGAGGTAATTTTTCTTATTAGCTGGAGAGTCCACAGATTCTCAAAATCTGAGTTGCTTGATATGCTTCAGACTAGCCGAGGGGGAACAGTGGGTGAGCCCTAAGAAAGGAAGCCCAGAGGATGGGCTATTC